GGTTTGTTTGTTCCTTTCATTCGTTACTTATCTACTGGTCAGTGCACAGTTAATGCGTATTTCTGTCTTGAAAAATCTTGGGCAATCTCTTTTGTTGTTGAGCCTGCTTGGGTTGCGGGTTTTGGGTCGGGCTGGATTATGACAAGCCCACCCTACCCAAGAGTATTGTGGGCTCAGGCCGAGGCCAGCCTCGGGCTAAGTTGCAGGCCTTTTATAAATTCTTACCAAAATAATTCATAATAATTAACAACTTCCAAGTCCAAACGTTTTGCAGCTGGCTCACTTGCCAGTGAAGTGAGTTTTTAGCATAGAAAAAAGCAGGTTTGAGTAAAGTTTAGTCCATGGCTATTCTCATTGCAATCCCATTACTGCACTCCACCAAAAAAAAAAAAAAAAAAATGAGTGCTATTTTGCCTCTTCACTTCACATCAAATCGTTACCCAAAAAAAGGAACTGTCTTTTTTAGTAAAGATTAAAATGATACTTATTTTAGACCCTTCTACCACAAAACAAAAATCCTGGCTTTGCCCTTTGCCGCTTGTGCAATTCTGAACCTGAGTGCACGAGCCATGCTATTCGTGACTGTAGAGTAGCGAGAATTTTTTGGAATAGGCTTGGAATTCCCCGTTCTCCACTGATTTATCCGATTGGGTCAAACTCAATTGCCAATCCAACATCATCCACCCATCCGTAGCTAGATGGGCGATTGTCTTTCCCATTGCGTGCTGGTTTGTTTGGAAGAATCACAACGCCCATGTCTTCGACCCAAATCAACCTTCTCCTTACACTCCCTCCCTAGCTATTGCGCATGCCTTAGAATGGCAACATCTATGTTAGAATAGTAGAGACAGAAAATAATATGTATTCTATTTAATGAATTAATTCTATACAATAAAAGGCTTTATTAGAAACCTAACTATAAGAAAGAGTATTCTACAAGAAACCTAACTATGGATATTCACAAATATATCTAGAAAATCAATATCTAATATATTTAGGAATATATATATCATATATACATTAACATTCTCCTCAAACTCAAGGAGGATAAACATCTTAAGTTTGGAGAGAAAAACTAAAAAATAAAATAAAAAGTAAATAGATTGTTAAGTCTGAACAGGAGTGCAAGGATGCTTGAGATACATCTGAGACCGGAGCTAATGCCAGGAGACAATTTATGGTCGCGTTGGACCGTTGTAGGAACTGGCCGGAACTAAGTCGGGACAGCTTAAGGTCATGTCGGACCGTTGTAGAAACTGGCCGAAACTTTGTAAAAACTAACCGGAATCAATGTCGGGATAGTTTACAGGGTCATGCCGGACTGTTGCAGAGGCTGGATGTTAAACCAGCAAGCATGGCACACACATAACTTATGACGTAGTGCTCAACGATAATGTCAATAGATGACTGAGTGCGCCAGGGAACGGCTTAGAGAGTACACCAATGAAACGGCTTAGATAATGAACCAATGGGACGACTTAGAGAGTGCACCAAATGAGGTGGCTAAAGGGAGTGCGCCAAAGGAGACGGCTTAGGTAGTGCACAGATATGATGGCTAACCATGGACATCGGGTTGAAGATTATCAACTTTTTATCAATCCTCCTTCATGTGTTTGTTATCAATTATTACATGATGCTAGGGGAACTTCTTAACCCAGGCTTGTGTAATCGCCACCTTTACGCTATTTAATTTTATGCACCCTAATTACCACCCAAAAAAAAAAATGACTTTGGCCCCAAAACAAAAAGTTTAAAAGAAAAGGATTGACAGAATATACCTAATCAGATGAATAATTTTTAAGAAGAGAATATGGTATGCATTACCAAAAGAAAAAGAAGCATAAAAAAGTTCTTTGGGTGCAATTGCAAATTGAAAAGCAAGAGATGGCATACTGCACGATCATTATTCTTTGGTTGCTTTGGATCATAAATTTGTATAGAAAAAAATGTAAGAACATATGTTTAGATTGGAGAACCATGCAAGAACGTAATGTTCAATTTGTGGAAAATCAGATTGCGAAGCCATCAATTGTTACACGGTAGGTTGAATTTGAACTATCATTAATCAGTTTGTTTGGTTTTAGTTTTCAGAAAATACTTTTTAGAAAATTTTATTGTTTTATTTTATGTATTTTTTTTTTGTTTTCAATGAATTTTTTTAATATTTTAAGGATTTTTTTTAATTTTTAGACACACCTAACATAAATATACAATTGAAAAGTATAATATTTGTATTAAAAAAAATCTTTAAAAAATTCACTAAATACCAAAAATACAAAAAATAAAAATAAAAATTCAATATATTTTTCGTATTTTTGTGTATTTATTAATTTTTTAAAATATTTTTTCACAAATATTTTACTATTTAGATACATTTAAGTAAGATCCATCTAAAAAAGTTAAAAAATTACTTAAAATTTTAAAAATATTAACTAAAAATAAAAAAATACAAAAAACAAAAAGCTTAATTTTCAGAAAACTAAAACCAAATACACTGATTTTTTTTTTTTTTTTTACTTTCTAGGTCTGGATTTGCTTCTTCACATTGTTAGAATGTTGTTCATGCCCATTTCACTCGCAACACATCACATGTGATGCATAAAAATTGATATTTTGAAATTGTTGCTACCAATTATTTTACAAATGATTTGTCCAACTTTACTCTACTACATTCTTGACTTGCTAATAATGATTTAATGGTTGGGAATGGTTCTACTTTCTCAATAACTCATACTAGCGAAGGTCTCTTGCCCACTCCTAGTAGTTTCTTGCTTTCCAATGCCCGTCATTGCCTGGCTTCAAACCAAATTTTTATGAATACAATGAAGTCAAAGAATTTTTTATCAATCATATTGGCTCTAGTGAACAAATTGTAGACTTCTTACCAAGCCTCCATTTGTTGCCAGGTTTTCAGTTCTTGAAGTCCTAAGTAATGGTCACTAATGTACCCATTAGTTTGATTAGGAATGTAGAATAGTGTTATAAAGAAGATCAGAAGTTAGTTGAATTAATTGTATGTATTGTGGGTGTTTCGAAAGTTACTATTTTAGTAGGCTGTTTTAGTTTTTGACTATTTTAGTAAGTTAAAATTTGTGTTTAGAAATGTGATTAGATTTTTTTGATAATTGGATGTGATGTTTGTGAGAGAAAAAATGAAATGATTTCGAATTTGATGTGACATTTTGTTTTATTAACTATTTTAACCTATTATATCATTTTGTAAATTTTAGCCTAAACACTTCCCAAACTGAGAGATCAATTGATGAGTTGGAGAGTTTGTTAAAATAGATTTATAGGTCAGTTATCAGTAATTATTGGCAAGTATACTTTATTCAAAAGAGAGAATGAATGAATGAATAACATGCAATTTCTTTTGTTTCTTGTCTCTATTCCTTCATTCTCTAAAATTTTACAAAAATAAATGACAATGAAAAAGTAAAAGTAAAAGTAAAATTAAAAACAAAAAACTTACTTTATAAAATTTTCATTTCTTTTTCTTTTCTCTCTATAAATTGAAAATCTAAAAACAGTGTTACTCAAGTTTTACAACGGCATAATACTTTTTTTTTTTTTTTACTTAGAACATTTAACTAAATAAAAACTAACTAAAAGAAACACTTTTGCACTAACCCAACCCTATGGCATCATTATAAAGTTGGATTCCAATCCAATTAAAAATCCTCCAAAGTTCCAACAAATATTGGGATTTTATTGATTAAGATATCCACATACTTATTTATTCTCAAAAAATCTCAAAAAAAAAAAAAAAACTATACATAATGATATAGCATCACTATTTTTACAAATTAATATTTTATAAGGCTTACCAAATAATAGCCTTTGAGAAAGAAAGTGATGCCACCTCATTACATATCTACTGTTACAGCTAGACTTTCACCTTCCAAGGATTATTGAATATAAAGCAGATAATTATTGCTCAAAAATCATCAAATTACACTGCTTCAGTGATAAGCACTACACACTACAGTGAGTGAGTCTACAGCAATTCTCCCATCATTTCCCATGACAACTGACAATTTTAATATCAATTAATGATTATTGACTTTGATCTCATCTGTACTCAACCAAAAACACACACACCCCACTCACTTACTTTTACTTAGCAGTTACTAAACCAATTCAAACCTTTCTTTTTCCCATGTCCCATTCCAAATCATTTAAATTAGCTTTTTGCAGTCACCAAAATAACCATAGTCAAAAATCTTTAACACATTATTTATAAAGATTAATATGTGTACCCATCAAAGTTCACATATTTTAAAAATTAGTTTGGTTTTTAAATTCTAATCCAAATGTAGTTTGAGGTCTTACCAAGCGATGGTTAAGTCAATCATGGTTAAATAGGAATATCCTAATTGATCAGAAAAAAGAGAATTGAGCATATCCTATGCCCGGCTATTATTAATGTTAAATTTTGAACTTAATTAACATACGTACTTTCAAGTTGACCAATAATTAGATCCTAAAATGCAAGTAAGAGCAATGATAACACTCAAAAACTTTAAAATCAAATAAAATATTAAAAGAAAGGGATTTGCAGGCCTTGCCAATGACATCCAAAAGCTTGGTATTATAAAATTAAATAAATTACAAATACACTTTCAAGATTTATTTGAATTATAAATTATTTTTTAATTTCATAACAAATATATCATTTCATTAAAATTAACAAATCTCAAAAAGTGCATTTATAATTTATCTCACAAAATTTTATAGGTGTCTACTATACTTGGTGTAGTGTTAATTATGATTTATTATAATATTATTTTAATTATAATTTAAAAGTTCTTTAATACCTTTTATAATATTTGATTATAATTTTTTTAATTATGATTTTCATATAATTAAATTATAATATATATAATAATTAAACTCACAAATGTAATTATTTGTATATAATACCATAACATTATTCTATTTATTTATTTATGTATATGAAAGGAATCAATGAGGGTTGGAATAAGAGGTCCACATCCATATGCTTTTCAATGTCCCCCCACTAATATATACTCCACAAATAGCCAGTTGGGCCTTTACATCACCACACACTACTTCAATCAAATTCCCAGTAAGCCCTACAGTATCTCTCTTTATTAGGAAAACCTATTTATAAAATACACATCAGGACCTCTTTAGATTCACCCCTCAAAAAAAAAAATTAAAAATTAAAAATTAAAAACAAAAGCATATAAATAAATAAAAATTATACCTAAAAAGGACAGGTAAATAAAGTAGACAGAGAAATATATTTTTTTTATAAAATAAAAAAGAAAAAAAAAAGGAGACACTTGGAAAGTGGCAGGGTCTCACTATCCCTCATAAGGCAGCCAGCATTCCACTAAAATAAGCTTTGGTTTGATGGGCTGGCATGGCTGAGTTGACCCAACTCGGTGTGGGGGTCCTAAACTGAGTTGACTCAGACTTAGCTGAGTTTCCAAGCCGAGGTGGCAATGAGTGGACGAGTGTGCCAACCCAGCATCAAACACCCATCGTTCTCCTCCACTCTGTACCCATCGCCACCGTTAAACAGTGCCAACAACATGCTCGCTTGTTTAAACGCGTTCGAACCCAAATGAACCGGTTCGAACCCGGACGACACGAACCGGGCTCGCCACTTGGCTAGAGTCTCGTGTCTCTCGATCCGGTCCGGTCCTTCACACGGCACCACGTTGCAGATCTGACGGCCCAAATACACCTCCGACATCACCTTATCCTGGTTACTCACCGACGATAATGACTCACCACCACCGCCGCCACAACCCTCCAACGAGTCAAACAGAGTCGAGTAATAATGCAACGACTCGGTAAACCGGTCCAAGAAAACCGGTCCATTATGGTCCGCTTCTTGCTCTACAACAGTGAGTATCTCCGGCTTCATCTCCTTCACCGCAGACAACACCTTCTCGATCGAACCCGGTCGAGCCAACAACTGATGCAATTGGAAAACCGAATTAACCGCCACGGCCTCACCTTCTCGAAGATCAAGCATCGAAGCATCGAGATCAGCCAAGCTATTAGCCACAAAGCCTCTGTATTCGAACTTGACATGAATCGTTTCGGCCAATTGAGCTAGTTTCCAACCCACTTCTTGTAAATGGTCCGTGTTATCGTCGGAGGGCGGGCCAATTCCGGTTAACCGGAAAGTGGGTGGACCGCCGGGTCGGAGAGCTAGGGCTTGCATTAGAGCCGGCCATTGCATCCCCTGTTTCATGCTGAAATCGATTACGTGGACCCGTCTGTGGTTCGCGAAGGCTTCGAGGATGGCTTGGTTGGCTGTGAAGTGAGCGAATTTGAGGTATGGACAGGTCTCGTAGAAATGCATCTGGAGGAGATCGGAGAAAGCATTGTCCTGAGAGTTTTGAGGGTAGAGTCTGTAGATTCTCCGAGCCAGGGCCTCAGCGAAGTAAGTGGCGACTTTTCGCATCGCGCCGGCTTGAGAGACGGCGAGGAGGCCGATTTGCTTCACCAGAGCTTCGGCGAGCTTGAGATTGTCTTGTTGGATTGCCTCGGCGCAAGCCATGAGTGCGTGAACGAGTCTTATACCGTTCTCTTGCGAGTCGACTAGAATCAGCGGACGAGTTGACGCAGTAGATGAGTCATTGTCGGGAAGGGGAAGGGGAAGAGTCCAAATCCCAACTGGGATCGACGAGACAGTGGAGGACGATGATGCAGAGGAGGGTTTGAGGCGCTTGTTTGGCTGTTGAATTTCTGGGTACACGGCTTTACCTGCAATTGCTTTGAGATCGTAATCATCGGAAAAAGAGTCATGGAAAATTCTGTGATTTAGGGGGTGGCGGCGGCTGTCGAAGGCCGACGGAGGAGGGAGGGAAGAGTCGAAATTAGGAAGAGGGTGGAGCTCGGAAATCATGGATTCGAGCCAAGAAGAGAGATCGGAAGGGTTGTAGTGAACAGTCTCGGAAGCAAGGTGAGACAAGCCATCTTCCTGAGCATGACCCATCACTTCTTCGAGCTGTTCGAGCTTCTGAGCAACTTCGCTCATGTCGGAAGCTTTCACTTTGTAACCCAACACAGCCAATAGCTCATCCATTCCAGCATCCTGTTCCTCCCACATCTTACTTTTCCCACTCGCCTCCTCCGTCGAGTAACCACAGCCGCCGCAGAAAGTGTCCTTATAGGGAGGAGGAGGAGGAGGGTTATGAAGGTCGCGCTTCATCTCTCTCTCACTATTTCTTTGGAAGATTGGGCGTTTCTGAACAAATCGCCAACTGATGAAGGGAGGGAGGGGATTGGGTGAGGTGTGCTTGGTTTTTCACACTGCTCTGTGAGTTGTTTGTTTCAGAGAGAAAATGAGTGAGAAAATAATAACAGGAGGGAGAGAAATAAGAAACGCTCGTGACGGGGCTCGAGCTCCGAAGAACCAACAGAGAGGCCAACCAACAAACACCAATACAACAGCTACAGCTCCAACCAGATCAGATTTGCAAATGTTATTTTTATTTTTCGCACTAAATAAAGAAAAAAAAATTCATTCGCCTAATAGGTAGTGTTTGAAAAAATTTTGAAAATATGATTTGAGAATAAAATTATATTTTAAGTTTGTATATTTTGAAATTATGATTTGACTGTAGAAAATTTATTTGGTTATAAGTTTGAAAAGAGTTTTGAATTGAGTGAAAAAATTTTGATATGACATATGATATCTGATACAAAAATTTACTCATAACCAAATATACAATTCAAAAATCTATTAAAAACTCATAAAAAATTTTAGAAATATTGTTTATTAAAAATAAAAGATGCCAATTGCAAAAACAAAAAGAAAAATGCTTAAGAGCACTAAAAAGAGATCACTAGAGGAAGCACTAATGATGTGGCAGTGGACCCTGCCCACTTTCTATGCCTTGTTTTTATTTTTTTATTATTTTTTTTGTCATTCCCAATATATTAGTGCTATTAGTGATGTATTTTTTAGTAGTCTAAATCATTGTTGAAACAAAAAATGCACTACTCCGGTTGACCGGCCGGACGACTAGTTAACCCAAATTTCAAAAAAAAAAAAATCTCACCAAACAGAATTTTTTACGAAGTTTTCTTTTTATTGTGGAAATATAATTTGAAAAATGTATCCAAACATAGCATTGGAATGTAGGGGTGAAATTATAGTTTGAAAATCTATCCAAACACAGCCATAATCTTTTTAGAGAGTTAAATATTTTTTTAATAATATAATTATTACATTTTAAAAATATTAATTTTTCAAAATTACTCTTTGATAATACTTTTTTAAAAAAATCAATTGTCACTACTGTACTCTTTGTGTTGTTAATGAATTTAAAAGAAATAGAAAATAAGAAATTTATATTATTTTAATTCTTAATTTTTAAAAAGTGATTCACTTTGCTTGTTTCTACTTTTCAAAAAACACTTTTCAGAAAACTCTATTTTCTTATTTTTTGTATTTTTTTGTTTTTGTTGAATTTTTTTAATATTTTAAGCAATTTTTTTATTTTTTAGACACATCTAATATAAATACACATAAAAAGTAAAAAAATTGTAAAAAAAATCTTTTAAAAATTCACTAAATACCAAAAATATAAAAAAAATACAAGAATTCAGTATATTTTTTGTATTTTTATGCATTTATTAATTTTTTAAAATATTTTTTCACAAATTTTTTACTTTTTAGATACATCTAAGTAAGGTGCATCTAAAAAAGTAAAAAAAAATGTTTAAAATTTAAAAAATATTCACTAAAAACAAAAAAAATACGAAAACCAAAAAAGTCAATTTTCAAAAAATTTAATCCAGAAAACTCAAACCAAACACACTGATTAGTATTTTGAAACAATGAAAAATGAAATAAGGGACTAATATTTTAGAACGGAACGAGTAAGTCCTCGTTTGGTTTTCTCATCTGGGCTAAAAAAACACAAAAAGTCAGGTGTTGTTTGGCAAGTTGGTTTGTGGCTAAAATAGCCACAAAAGACAAAATAAATTATTTTAGCCACAATAAACAAAACATCACATCCAACCCATAATCATTACACTCTTCTCTCACAAAAAAAGTCAAAAAAATCAAAAATTTAAAAATCTTTCTCAATCCAAACTTTTTAGACCAGGCTAAAATAGTCCAAAAAAAAGTCAAAAAGCCAAAAAGTCAACCCACTTCTCAAACGGAGGCAAAATAGGCTATATAAGCCAATAAGACGAAATACTACTTTTTACCCATAATCATTATACTTTTTCTCTCACAAAAATCAAAAAAGTCCCAAAATAAAAACCAAACGAGACTAAAAAAATCTCAATACAAAAAGTTGACTAAAAAAGTAATGCCAAAGGAACCCTAAAATTTACTACTTCAAATTTTTTACTACTTTTATTAAAAAAATAAATAAATAAATAAAGTGCAGCCTTAGAGCATCCTTATTAGCCTATCTAAATTTTACCTTAAAATATTATTAAAAAAATTCATTCCTTATTTTAGAAATTACTTTTTTATCTACTTCCCCTAATAAATTTCATATTTTTTCTCTATTCTATTAAAATAATTTTTTTAATTACTTTTAAATTTAAATATTTTTTTAATAATAAAATAATGAAAACACATGACAACCAAACACCAACAAGCAGCAGCAAAGCAGTAGAGAAAAACGAAGAATGGCGGTCGACCGGCTAGATAACTGGGCGGTCGGCTGGTCAGGTCAATTTTGGACATTTCCTTCTTCAGCTACAGGACACTCACGAGACGTCCGGGAGGACATCCCCTGCGTGCATTCAACGAAATAAAATAAGAATTTATGAGTTATAAGGGATTACTGTGGCATAAAGGAGTCACTGTAGTAATACTTATATTTGGGGCGTTGAATAAGAGATCTTCAGAAAAAAATTCTGAAGAATTAACCCTTATATTATAAGAAGTTGTTGAAGATGCTTTTACATGTTTATAGTGAAAGTCCTTCAATTTAATTATTTTGTTAAAAAGAAAAAAAAAATTTAATTACACCGATACTTTACTATTACTGAGGCCTCGTTTGGGAACAAGCTAATTTAGTAACTTTTTGGCTATTTGGCTAAAAAGGTAGGTAAAAAAAACTTGTATGTTTGGGATGACTTTTTGGCTAATTACGAAAAGATGTGCAAAAAGTAGAGAGAAAAGAAAATCTTTGACTTTTTGGTATGGGTTGTTGACTTTTTGACTAATTTAGTAACTTTTTGACTAATTAGCTAAAATAGTCTCTTGCCAAACGAGGCCTGAATATCAAGTATTATAATTGTCTATAAACTTAGAGGGTGGAGCTGAGGGGCACATATTAATTATTACCGTAAAAGTTTTTTTGACATGATCTGTAAGAATGAGGTATTACAACATTCAAATATACATTATGCTTGTTGATTATCAATTTCATGAATGGTAATATATTATTCCCAACTAATAATAATAATAATAATAATAATAAACTTCAACTTTGTGAATGGAAAATGCTAAACGCCTTAAAAGTTGTCATTAATCTTGAAATGTGCATAAAAAAACATATAGATATATGTGAAAAGTGAGTGGAAATTTTTTAAATTGTTAAAAATTATATTTAAAATGTATTAAAATTATAAATATTTTGTATTTCTTTAACATATACTTTTCATTGACAACTCTTATTAACATTGTCATTAGTATGACTCTCTCCGTTTGGCAAGAGTTAAACGGTTTTTTTTTTTACTATTTTAGTTATAAAAGACAAAATAAATTATTTTAGCCATAAAAACAAAATATCATATCCAATCCATAATCATTACATTTTTCTCTCACAAAAAAAGTTAAAAAAGTTAAAAATCCAAAAAATCCTTCTTAAACTAAACTTTTTAGCCGGGACTAAAATAGCCAAAAAAATTAAAAAATCAAAAAGTTAACCCACTTCCCGAACGGAGGCTTAAATACTCATCTGAAAACTCAAATTAATGATTGAAGAAACTGCTCGATGTGGCCGTCTGTCAAAAGATGTGAGCAATATAGCCCACTGTGACTTGTGAAAAAGAAAAAAATATATATATATTTGGGAACACTAAAAAATATCATTAGAGGGAGCACTAATGATGTGACAGTAAATCCTGCTCACTTTCTATGTCTTATTTTTATTTTTTTATTATTATTTTTATCATTTCTAATATATTAGTAGTATTAGTGATACATTTTTTAGTGATCTAAACCATTATTGAAAAAAAAAAAAGAACATATATAGATATGTGTCGTATAATAGAGTGTACACATTTTTTTTAAAACATAAAAGGAGGTACTTTTAGAAATTAATCAGCTTGTTTGTGTTCATTTTTCAAAAAATACTTTTTAGAAAATTTTACTTTCTTATTTTTCGTATTTTTTTGTTTTTATTGAATTTTTTAAATATTTTAAGTAATTTTTTTACTTTTTAGACACACTTAATATAAATATACCTAAAAAGTAAAAAAAAATTATAAAAAAAAACTTTTAAAAATTCACTAAATACCAAAAATACAAAAAAAAATACAATAATTCAGTACATTTTTTGTATTTTTATGTATTTATTAATTTTTTAAAATATTTTTTCACAAATTTTTTACTTTTTAGATACATCTAACTAAGGTGCATTTAAACAAGTAAAAAAAATGTTTAAAATTTAAAAAATATTCACTAAGAACAAAAAAATACGAAAGTCAAAAACCTCAATTTTCAAAAAACTTAATTTAAAAAACTCAAACCAAACACACTGAATAATTCAAGAGAAAACATAATGTGATCGTCTGTTAAACGACGTGGATAATGACCAGTCGTGATACATGGAAAAAAGACAGAATAAATAGTGTACGGGGGCGAAATATCCTCTGCTTTCCGTACTCCTTGTACTCCAAGCTTCTCTTGACGGCGTCTACCTGGCAACACAAAAACGATGAGTTGCCCGGCGGTGGTGTGCCGGATAGACCCTCCGACGATCAAGTCAGACCAATGGAGGAAGAAGAAGGCTATCAGAGAGAGAGAGTGTTAGTGATAAAGTGAATTTTTCATACCTCTAGCGTTCTTCCTTCCTTCTATTTCTAGGCTGGCCATGCAGCCTCAAGATTGTGCGCGCACTACCTCTGCTGTCCTTTCCTGGACAGTTGACAGTGCCCGCCTCTCACCACCTTACACGTGTAAAGGCTTAGTCCTCCCACCAGTACACGCAGAACTGTCCAACGGTATTGATGCGTGCGTGGTGCAGATGTCCTCTCCCTCACACCATTGGCCCAAGTGGCACACTTAACCGGAGTACCACGACCGGCCGGTTCCTTGTGCAGGCAATTCTCCACAAGCACACAACCGAGCTAATAAACGCCGACCTGCCACTTGGCAAAGGAGCCAAAGTGTTATGCTTATGACCGGGCTATTTATGATCGGTCCCACCTGACTGACAGGCCATGAAGCACGCTGGACTTCCACCGTTCTTCATTCTTGATCACATGAAGCCCGTTCATCTCGGCCGAT